GAGAGAGAGAGAGAGAGAGAGAGAGAGAGAGAGAGATTTGTGACTTTGGGACTTGACGACATTTGGATTCAGACTCGACATTGGGATTGAGACATTGGACGAGGGATTATTTGGGACCTGTACGGAAGACTTGGTGTTGAAGACATTCCCATCTTCCCCCTCTTCTTCGTCTGATCCCCCTCCTCTTCGTCTGTGTATGATTGGGGACTGGCGCGTTCTTCCTGTGCGAGCGCCAGGCCCCTTCACACCATGAGATGATGATGTATGTTTGGTCTGCATTGCGATATTGATTGGGCTGATCATTGGTATTTTAGCCTTGCGCTGCGCTATCCTGTACTATGTGAGAGAGGTCGGTTCTTGTTCTGGTCTGTACCATTACGGTATGCGACACCTCTGCTTAACACCTTTCACATTCATCTGTTGACGCATAACCAAAGGTGCTTTAAAAGCCAGAGAGAATTGAAGGGAGAGATTCACAGAGCTAAGTTAGCTAACAGCAGCATCGGATGATCGTGAATATGTGATGTGGCATGCAGTGTGGGTACCCCCATCTGACACATGGAGAGGTAAGGCGGCTTGCAGAAACCAGCAGCAATTTCCTTCCTATGGAGGACCAAGCAATACTGGAGAGGAAAAGGGCGCAAGAGGTTGCTGCAGAGAAAGCATGGCAAGGAATGTTTTCAAGTGAAGCAGCAGAGGAAACTGCTCCGGCCTCAAGTACCGGAAAAGGGAGAGGAAGAGGAGGGAGAGGGGGGGGCAGAGGGAGGGGCAGAGGGAGGGGTGGAGGCAGAGCGAGTGGGAGGGGTAAGGGGAGCGGGAGAGGGAAAGTTGGGGAGGGGGATCAAGCAGATGGCAGGGAAGCCAGGGGAAAAGCGAGAATGATAGAAGGTGGTGGAGTAGGTAAATAAAGATGATGGCGAGCATCAGCAGGCAGATCCTGGACACGACAACACTTGCCACTGGGGAACAGCAAACCCATTATGATCACATTTTGAAACACAAAGGGCTATTTTCTGGTCTGTGTACCCCATGAGGTACTGCTGAAGGTCATTTCTGTCATCCACTACTGGCCATCCAATTTTGTAAAATATGAGCACCCACATATCTGTTTGGAATCTCTGAATCCTTCTGGGCACCACCTTCAGCGTCAAGATCGATCGGACAACCCAGCGTACTGCAAAGAACATCGAGATTCTATCCATCTATGGATGGGATGCTCCCGATGCACATGTAGCAGACAAGATTGGCTGCATGACAGAGTCGTTGCAATATTGTGACTAGCTCAGTCTAGCTGGTTGGATGAAAAATGCAGGAGGTATAGCCATCATATGTCCATTCGTATGATCGTTTGTATCATAGTCATCTGTTAGACCATATGTAGTGCACCATTAAGTTGTACAATGCTGTAGAGCTTGTGCCAAGCCTGCTCCTGAGACCGTCACTTAAGCATGGCAAAAAAAGAAAGGAGTGGCTGCAGAAAGCCAACTTTTCTTGTCTCTGCCTGTTTGGTGGGGAGGGGGCATTTGTTTACCTTTTGGTCATGTTTTCTCGGGTGAAGTACAATTTGTGCAGTGTCCAGCATTCTTTTTTTGTTTTGTTTGCTTCTTACATCCTGGGATCATTGTAGGGTTTCACCACCTGAGCCAATCCATCCATTGTGTTACACCTGGAGCCTAGGTGCCTTCTCTCTCTCTCTCTCTCTCTCTCTCTCTCTCTCTCTCTCTCTCTCTCTCTCT